TGTAAGGCTATGCGTGAAATTTTTCCCAAAATTGTTGCATAACACTTGAAAAAATGCAAACGAAAATTTAAAATTATCTCCATGACGCTCTAAAATAGCTCCGTCGGTACCTCAGGTTATACACCTTGACAGTAGGGATGTTCGATACGATCCTATATTTAGAAGTATAGATACTTTTGCTTCCCATACCCGATATTTTTATATACGATACAGGGGTGTATCGATATATTTCACGAGTATCGTCATCTTTCGATTCGGACTGTGCCAGAAAGAGCGATTAACTTCAGATTACTTTTCTTCTTTGTTTCTTTCCGCTGGACATCGATAATTTTATTTCAATATTTTAGAGTATCGATACTTCCTAAAACGATAAGAACGTGCGCTTTTATTTGTTTATCTAAAAGTGCTCAAAATTGGCAAAGTACATATTTCCAGAATAAGTAGGCTACATTGTATCTATCGCTTCTTTCAAATGGTCGCAAAAAACGTGGTTAGAAATTAGTAACCTGTCATCATGTGTCATTACATGTCTCTGTATAAATTTAAGCGATCTGAAAAGAAAATTTCACAGTATTTCAGAGTAAAAATTCTGCTGTCAATCTATATTCCATTACTGTGTGCAACAAATCAATGTTTTTACCTATGGTAAAATTTTTGTTGCATAGAAACTGTACTAACGCAAACCATGCGCATCATCTATATCGTATATCAAATAAACATTTAATTGACGTTTTTGTCTACATTGATAACTCCTACCCAAACGAGCACCAATTTCCAATACTTTTTTTGTGCAGCACATAAAACAGGAAAATTGCTCGTAGTAATTTGCACCGACAACCAATTACTGTTTCATTTAAAGCTGTTATTTCGTAAAAGCAATTCAGGCAGGCAAAACACTATAATCATCTTTATCGATCCAGTGTTCTACTATAACGGGAACATGGCTATTTTGTCCTAATTTTTTGAACGTGCACGGACTCACAAAGAATGGAGATTTTGCGTCGATAGTGAATAAAAATAGCTATCACATATATCAGGAACCATGTTAAGGTCATATCGAAGTAATTGAAAGAATGGCGGTAAGTAGATTGATTCTAAGTTTCGCACTGCTTCAGCTTCTAGTATAATTTTCATGTAGTGCAATTTCATTTATACACAGTGACACAAAAGAAATTAGCTTTTGCCAGAATCAGTAATGCATTAATTGGGCCATTCATAAAAAATCTCGGATTGTAACACTAAGCGTGTCCGTACACGGTAGCTTTACGTCTTTGGAGTTCTGACGCAAAACTGTCATCGATGTTTCATAACTGATTATAAAATAGCTCTTGATACATACCTATGTACTGAATATCATATACCATACTATATTTTCCCCCAAAATCAAGTAAGCTTATACACTCCAAACATAGCGCTAATGTATATATATATGTGTATATATAATATCGCAACCACCTCGTATGTGCATTGTCGCCTCGCCGCCTGCTTAACCGCGTGGACCAGCGACGCGTGGTTGACTATCGTACGCCTAATATTTGTTTAACTGATACGCTGAAGAATCGCATACATAAAATATGTTCGACTATTATAATAATTATGGCATGACCCTCATATATTTAGTAAACATCATATTATACTTGTATATACCTGGTATATAATTTTCTTATGGGTTGTAACGGTTTCACCGTCCGATCGTATTTATTAAATCACTTCTCGATTATCATTTCATTAATCCCATCTCTAGCTTTTTTGCTTGGAAAATTTTCCGCTTGGAGCGCTTGATGCGGAGTTCCTGATCTGCGATCTTCCTCGATCTTCCTTTTTACCTGAGCCGCCGATCGAACAAGAGCTAAGAATTTTCTTCTCTGTAGCACAAGGTCATATAGCACCATGTGCTAGAATTTTGTAGAATGTGTGTCCGTATAGGACAAAATGATTGGGGCCACCCCCTTTCCCTTTCTCTTTCCCTTTCCCTTTGCCTTAGTCTTTGACTTTGCGTTGCTTGGCCTATCACTTCACCCATGCATGTGCCTTGGCAGCGCCATCGCCTTTAAGTTCAACTTCGCCTACAACTGGTTATGAAGCCACTATATGTGAGGTCACCCCTCACAACTGGGACCTCCACTTCAAGCACCTGGCCATCCTCGCTTCAGTCGAGTCAAAATGGACCAGCGAATAAGTTGATAGTTTTATAGCAGAGCCAAAGATGTAAAACTTATTTTGTTCTTTAAAACTGTAAAATTGTAATGTAACGAAAATGCTTTTTTGTTAAATAAAATCTGTAAAATTTTTGTGTTCTGTTTGTTCTTCTATCCTCTAGCCATGCCATGGTCGACACACAGCTACACGCCTGTAGATGTCTTCATGCCACCGACTGAGCTACCGGAAGCTAATGCTAACCCCCTTTCTGTGATTGTACAGAAAAGTTGGAATCTTTATTGCATTCCATCTTTTCTGGACTTTTTGCGGAAAGGAAGCGTTACAGGGTTCTTACTTATGATGTGAATGATATCTGTGTATACTTTCTTATATTGATCAGTAAATGATCTTGTGTACTTTCCTATCATAACAAATTCCTTCAAGATACCGATTCATTAATCATTCTATACTTTGCTGTACAACCTTTAAATCTCAATAAATAATTTTTGAAGTGGTTCATAACCTATTTTGTTCAATTTATTCAATAGATGCGTGATATTGCTGGTACTAGAAGATTCTTAATAAAAGAGATGCGATATGTATAACCACCCACTTTCTACGATCCCCAACCTTCAGTTCTCTGAAAATCATCTGGAGCCTCTGAAACGTCAAGAATTGGATTTCAGCTATGATTATTTTCCCGTTTGTCTCCCTGCAGCATTACCTCCTCTGGATGGACTTTAACTGCAACGATTTTTCGTCGCTGGTATAGCAGAAGCCTTGTGTCAAAATTTCATCAAAATCCTAGCGGACCCTTTTCAGGGATGGGGGCAGATGGACAGACAGACCGAGAGAAAAGCTAGACAGACAGACAGGAGGAAATAAGTAACGTAGTTCTTAGTATCCCATTTTCTAAATTATGTTTTACTCTCGTCGCCAGTGGCGTGGGAAATAAAACGATATTTGTGATTCGGATACACATAGGCATTAGTATGGCAATCACACTTTTATTTATGCGTGAATCACCACAAAGGCCGTAGCCCTAAGCATCCATGGGTACTGTGGGGCTATAGGGGGGTACAAGGTGGAGGGGAGACGCCTAGAGATCCGTCGGGTGGTACCTCCGCGCTCGACAGTTAGAGACCGTCCACCTCCTACGGACAATCACAACATTCATCATAGCCAGGAGAAACATTTTTTGGGACGGGATTCGAACCCGCGCAGCGCACGGCGACTGGTTTGGAGACCGATAACGTCTACCACTATGCCACCTCTGCTGCCCGCCATTGGCGTAGTATGTTACAGATTTTCTCAGAAATTTATTTGATATAATTTTAAATATAATCAACTTAAATGGTACTCACTGTCAACTATGAGTCTGCATACTACATCTAGCTTAAAAAAGTGCTGACAATTTATTAAAAGAAACAAGAGGCTTGTCTCCTTACTATTTTGTTGGTCAAATGTATGTAAACGCTTTGTTTGAGAGACAATGCCTGCTTATCAATGTTTCTAATCAATTCAGAACTAATTTAGATCAATAGAGCAAAATGGAAGATAGAAGACATAATAGCTATCTGATGTCATTAGCTATGTTTACGCGGTAGGTAGCCAAGCGCTTAGATAGCCCTAGATCATTAAAGTACTGTGCGTAAATGCTGTTCTGTGACCGCGTGGCTGTAAGCGCTTGCCTATCTACTTGGCTGCCGTCATATTTGTTGACCCATTTTCGCGGAACAAGCCATTAAAACAGCATTTTTCCAACTATGAACTATATGCACAGTTATCCTTTAAGCTGAAAGCGGAAACAAAAATGTTCCATTTTGCTACATTCTCATACCCATTACTGTTTTTACCAGTATTTTCATGAAGTTCACTAATCTTCAATACCACTGCTAAATCCACATTCAAAAACTTTTTACACAACTGCCTGAGAGAAAAATTCTATTTCATGGGCTATAGGCCGAACAACTCGATGGATTTTGACATACGAGGTATCATTAGATTCACCTTAGCAGCGCAAGTAACACTGGCTATATTGAAGCTTTATGAAATCAAAATTCCTGGCTTTAATAAACAAATCATACTTAAATTTCCTATTTCAGAGGCTACGATTTCACGGGCTTAATGTAGTTTTCGATGTGCGTGTTTTGGATCTGTTTTGCAGCATTTTTGAAAAATTGATTTCGTCTCAAGCAACCAGACTGAATATCTAAGGCCAGTTGTTACCAATAGTGTGCTATTCATTGGTTATCGTCAGCCTTTTTGGCATCTGATACATCTTCATAACCTGTAAACACCGGAAGAATCCGTGCGTTCAACGTGAAAACGGAACCGGCGTTGCCGTATTTACCTAGAATTCTGCACTCTCCTGGTAGTCAAATCAAATCACATAATGCCTCAAACTACGCAAATGAGTTGTACTTGCTGCAAAAAACTTGGGGATGACAACAAGTTTGTGAGCTGTTCTGTGTGCAAGAACCATTATTTTGATGCCAAAATTTTGAAAAGCAAATCAAACGTTCATTTCACCTGTAAAAACTGTAGCATGATTGGTGCTACATTATCTGATCTTCGAGCATTGGTCATTTCTTTGCAAGAGGAAATAAACGCTCGCAAGTCTACTCGCACTGACACAGCCCAGATATCACCTTCTGTCGACTATGAAGATATAATTCAAGAAATAAACGACGAAGAAAAACTTAATTATCTTTGGGGTTCAAGAGAGTGCAGATCAGTCCAACGCGCAAAAGAGGGCTCATGACACTGAACAAGTCAAAAAGATTCTACAGGTCTTGGATCGTGATGTTAATGCCGATAGTATTAAGCCGATTAGACTAGGATCTATCAAAGCTGGTATAATGAGGCCCATGAAAATAACACTTGGGGATGAAGATGATGTTCGTGCTTGTATTAAGTCAGCCAGCAACTTAAAGAGGAGCAATGTTTTCTCCAGGACTAGTATCTCATTTGATCGTACACCTCGACAGATCTTGCATTATAAAAAACTGAAACAGGAGATGGAAGAACGCTCTGCAAGAGGCGAAGACGGCTTAAAGATCAAGTACGTTCGTGGTGTCCCTAGAATCGTTTCGGAAAACTAGGGAAGCCCAACAGAAATATCCCTATGCGCTGTTATTTCCAAAACGTGCGAAGACTGAATACCAAATTCAATGAATTTTATTCCGCAATTTTGTCTTCTTTTGTAGGACTTGCCGAAACTTGGTTGTGTAGTGGTGTGAGAAATTCGGAACTATTTCCTCCGGAGTATATTGTCTACCGTTGTGACCGCGATTTCTTAAAAACAAACACTTCATGCGGAGGAGAGGTTTTGCTAGCATGTGAAGATATGTTTAATGTTGAGTCAATTAATCTTGAGCACATTCGCAATGAAATTTACTTGATCGATATTCTAGGCGTCAAGTGTACTATAGGATTTAATTCGGTATTTATATATGTCCTGTATGTACCACCACAAGTAACATTTGTAGACTTTGAAACATTCTTGGAATTATTTTCACAAACTACAATAAGTCAATTAAATGTCCTAATTACAGGAGATTTCAATGTAACAAATTTTGTTGATAATACAATTGTTGATAGACATTCGACTGCACTTAACAGATTTTTGGAATTTTCAGGTCTTTCTCAAACCAATACTGTTTTGACAAAGAATGTTGGATTTGGTGATAACTGACATTACCTGCGAAACCTATCATGATAATTTGCCGCTGGTCAAGGAAGATTTGTATCATCCTTCTCTATCTGTAGTTTGTGAAACTGAATTCAATGCCACTATTAATTTTGACACGAATGTAGCAACTCCAACGTACAACTTCAGGAAAGCTAATTTGATTGGCCTTTACAATGCCTTGACTTACATTGATTGGTCCTTTTTGGACAACGTGGAGGATGTCAATCGCATGTGTGACTTGTTCTATGAAAAATTGTACTTCGTTTTTGATCGAAATATATTAAGCATAAGCATCGTTATCCAGGTTGGTATGGCTCGGATATTATTCGAAATTTAAAACTGAAATGTAGACTGCATCAACAATATAAACGTTCCAAAAGTCAGGAAATCTATAGACAGTTTTCTAGGGTCCGTGAACTTGTTAAACAACAGATAAAAGACTGTTACAATCTATATCTGCAAAAAGTTGAAAATGATTTGGTTACAAATCCGAATCATTTTTGGTCTTTCATCCAGTCTAAGAAAGGCTCATCTAGAATACCAGGTAGGATGACCCTTGCTAATGAAGTCTCAGATAATCCTAATCAGACTATTAATTTATTCGCAGAGTATTTCCAAAGTGTTTATGTTATAGATAGTAATGTATACCAACATCCCGTTGTTAATAGTCAGCATGACTGTTCTGGGTAACTTCAGAGATGAGGATATTCTAAAGGCACTGTGTAAATTACCAAACAAGTTAACAGCAGGAGAAGATATGGTACCGAGCTTTGTAGTCCGTGATGCGGCGCACATATTTGTCACGGCTTTAAAGAAAATTTTTAATTATTCCCTCAGTACAGCAACTTTTCCTACAAAATGGAAACTGGCTAGAGTGTGCCCTATTTTTAAAGCTGGGGACTCTAGTCAAATCGAAAATTACCGAGCTATATACTATTTCTAACTTAACTGAAATCACCCAGGAAATTGCAGAGGTCTTAGATGACAGGGGTCAGATGGATGTGGTCTATACGAATTTCTCAAAGGCCTTCGATAAGGTAAGTCACCAAAGAATCATAGGTAACATTCAGCATTTTGGCTTTAGCAATCATTTATTAGATTTCATTTCTTCTTACTTACATGATAGAAGTCAGTACGTTTCTTACCATGGTTTCAAATCTTCACCTTACTCGGCCTCATCCGGTGTACCGCAGGGATCAAATATAGGTCCTCTTCTCTTTCTTTATTTTATCAATGACCTCCCTAACTGCTTAACCTGTCCTTCTCTGTTGTTTGCCGATGATTTAAAAATATATGCTCAGATTAACAGCATTGATGACTGACTAATCTTGCAAGTTGACCTGAATCCTATATTTGAATGGTGTTCAACAAATAAATTATTTTTAAATGTTAGCAAATGCAAAACCTGTTCTTTTACCAGGAAAACGAATCCAATAGTTTTTGATTACACACTAGAAGGTGTCAGTTTGATGCGTTGTTCAGAAGTAAGAGATCTAGTTGTGTTGTTTGATGTTAAATTAGAATTTACAGGTCATATTAGTACAATAGTATCATCCGCTATAAAAAGTCTCGGTTTTTTGATAAGAAACTGTAAATCGTTAGGTTGTGAAACGACACTTAAGGCTTTATACTGCACCTTGGTGCATTCTAAGCTGGAATATGCATCTAGTGTAAGGCACCCAATTACCAAATCTATATTAATGCAATTGAAAGTGTACAGTGGAGATTTCTTAAATACTTGACTTTCAAATTAGATGGTGTTTATCCCAATCGTGGGACCCCAATCAGCAATGTTGCTCAGATTTGAAATGCATCCTCTTGAGCTGAGAAGAGTTTGTAATAGTTTAACATTCCTTTACAAACTCGTACACAGTGATGTTGATTCTTCAGCTTTATTAGCTAAAATTGATTTTCATCTACTGTCCCGCATTTCCCGAAGATTTCTCGCTTTTTACTTAAAAACAACAAATTCTAATGTTATGCTTAAGTCACCCGTGTACTTTATGTGCTCCAGCTTTAACGCCATAGCTGATAATTGTGACATTCATCATGATAAAATCAAAGATATATTAGCTCTATTCAGCGACTACTATTATTCAATTATAAAATTTAAGACATGTAGGTGAGTAGGTGTAGCTATTCACTTTTTTTCATAAAATGGGTGAACTATGATTGTAGTTGAAAATATTGAAACATAAAATTATATTCAATTACATTGTCCTTTAAATGGATGTATCTGTTGGGCAATAAATATATTATTATTATTATTATTATTTTGACTTGCAATGCGTCTGGATTTGTCGTCAGGTTAAAATTGCGGGCTACAGACCAAATGGCATCGAAACAACGATGTTTTTTTGTAGTTAACAAATAAGCTTAATGAACTAATAGATAGACATAAAATTTTTGACCAGCGATTTTAAACGACAATTTCATTATAACTGTGTGGTTAATTAGCAGTCAAAGAGTTCTATTTTGTGGACTGCCTTTTGTTTGACTCAACATTTAGTCCCTCTATTATTCAAACCACAAATCGATAATCAAACAGACATGCAACCAGAACAAATATAACCAGAAACCATGAAACAGCCGGAAACTTTTATGTGCTGTGGACATGTCAAAGCAAAAATAGCAATAAGAACTTTGCTTGCACACTGAAAGCGATGTTCTCGATTCAAGCCCAACTGTATTGGATTGGAGCTTGTGACTTAGATATTTTTTTAAAATTCTAAAACATATTTAGTTAAATGGAGGGCCACCCCTTAATTGCAAGAACTCTAAAACTATGATATTACTGCTCTTCAGGTATCCGGGATATAGTAGAACCAATATCAAGAGAATTTATGCTCATGAATCAGACATTTCCTTTCCTATCTGCAATGTTACCAGTACTCCTTCATGATAACTAGTGGATGAAGCACGTTCATTTAATAGTCACTGAAAATTCCAAATTGATGCCCGTTGATAAACCAGGTTCCATCATTGACGCAAAGCAGCTTATCCAATACATTTTAGAAAATCTGGAAAAAGTATATCCAAACGTTTACATAATAATCAAAAACTTGAAGCAATTTACTGAGGTTAAACGCCGAAAAGCTCGTCAACTTTGATTTGCGTTTGTTTAGTTTTTGTCAATTGATGAGAAATAAAGCTCGAATACCAATATGTTGGTGCATAATTCAATTGAACTGTTTCTCTTTGACTTGAAAATTGGAGGGGCCTCGCAAGGTATCATGTCACTGACGTCCATATATTTTAGAACCAACTTAATAGTACAATTGAGGAGCAGGCTTGCTAATCGCATTTCGTCCATTTTTACCGATTTTCAGGAGGAGCAAAAAACTAGTATAGAAAAACTAACCATAAGAGAAAAAACTTTTGGGATAATATAATATAATTATCCATTATAAGTTTTGTACAAAAAAGTCGAAAAACAACTTGAAAAAAGTAAAAAAAATTTTTGGACAAAATGCGGTTTGATTGTCTCTAGTGGACAAAATGCAATTTGGATGTCATTGTCATTGTTAACAAAAATAAAAAATCGTGTTTTATTAAAAAAAGGTTTATATTGAAACGTTATCATGAAACAAAACAAAATTTGTAAGCATTATAATAATATTAGTAGTAAACGATTTTATTTTTAAATAAATTCATTATCATCATTCTCAGCGGATCCACAAGCTTCTTCGTCATGTTCGTGCTCTTCATCTTACATCATCATTACAATTTGCCACAGTTTTCTCAAATATTTCAGCCATCCATTTCAGCTCCGGGTCTGTTTCATACCATTCGTCACCAGGCAATGTAACAAGTAGGTGTTTCAGACTATCAAGCTTTTTCTGCTTCATTTCATGTCCAAATCGCACTTCGGGAAGTTCGATTTGATCTAACCGCTTTTTAGGTTTCAACAAAGTTTGAAATTTTTTTGTTGGATCACTCATTCGATACAGCAATTCAGATTTAAGCATCCCACAAACCGGCGCGAAATATTCGCTTTGGCTGCGAACATTTCACGGCGATGAATTCGCGATCAGATTAAAACGCGGCGGTTTACGGACAGGCTCAGACTTGTGCGAAGCGAATGCGATTGTTCCAGCGTTTTTATCGCGGCGTATTTTAGTTCGCCTTTGACCGCGTTTTTGACGCCGTTCTTCAAAAATTCGCAATGGCAAAAACGGAATTATTGATAGAAATAGTGAAAAAGTATCCTTGTTTGTATGATTTGTCGAACGATGAATACAGGAATGTGAGAAAGAAAAACAAGATTTGGATGGAAATAGGAAAAGAATTAAATACAAATGGTATGTACCTAATATTTTTTATTAACTTGTTAAATAATTTACAGTCTACACAAATGTGAAAACGAACATTCTATATATTGGGCATAGGCATATCAGAATTAAAATAATT